ATGACAATAACAATATACATTTATGGGAGGTCCTCAAAAGTATAGGTGTATAAATTTGCTGCCTGTGTGTGCAGCTGTGGGAAAGTATTGTACACCCTTGCAGCAAAGTAAACACTGTTCAGTTAATAAATCCTGTCTAATGAGTTTCCTGAGAACATCAGATCTCACAAAGCCACCGCAGGGTGAAATACACAGTCGGCACCATATCACACACACACACACACACACACACACACACACACTGACTGAGTTACACAAGATCACAATGCCATTTAATTAGAGTGGAAATAGCTCCGGAGGGAAAGAATTATAGCTAAAAAATAAAAAATAGTCACAGGAGGATCTCTACAGAAATATCCCCCAAACACACATATGCACGTTTAGTTACATAAATAGGGACATACCATGATTTTTATTGCTTTTGTATTAACCAAATTATAATACTTCAGGCTAAGCCTAAAAAATAGAAACCTTTTTTGCATTTTAGAGTAAAAAAATTTAATATTTATTATTAATTTCCAAACTATGACATTCCCGTCTGTATATTTTGTCAGATTTTGCAGATTTTTGCATAAATCTTGGTCGTTATTAAAAACACAGCTGTGAGGTATGGTACAGTCTGTTCTGTTCGTTATTCTATTGTGTACCAGGGTGTCAATCATTCAGCTGATGCAACATTGAAAATGTCTTCCCAGAACATTCTAGTGGTAGAAAATTAAGCGTGAATGGATTGTGTAAATTAAGCGTGAGTACCTTGAGACAGTACAATCTGTTGAACGGACTGTACTGAATGTGCTTAATTTAGACCCAGTATCAGTCTGTTTTCTAGTGGTAGAAAACTCTGGAAACATGGATTGTGTAAATTAAGCGTGAGTACCTTGAGACAGTACAATCTGTTGAACGGACTGTACTGAATGTGCTTAATTTAGACCCAGTATCAGTCTGTTTTACAAGCTGCCTCATCCACGCTTCACTGCAGCTTACGTTAGAGGTCAGTAAGCGTCCTAGCCAGTGGTTAAATCAGGATCACTAGCAACAAGAAGGACTCTTATTGAATGGGACATTGGTTTGATAGATTGAAATGGGAATGAGAGACTGCAGCCTGGACTGGCATCTGAAAGTTTGTAGCTTTAAACTCCACAAAGCTGATTTATTAATTTGAAGCTGTTCAAGGTAGGTTCTATGGCATTGCTAAGCAGTTGCTTTTGAGAGGTTGTCGGTAGCTGGTTGGTTATTTTTTTTAAATAATAATAATTACTGCACTGCATGCATCTATCTATCTACCTATCCTATCTATCTTAAAATATCATCAGCACAAACCAAATTTTTGCCCTGGATTAATGGATTAATATTTTCAGCAGGCAGTAATACAAAGCAAATGCATGTTTTGTGTCTAGAGTGTGTTTTAATGTTTAAATGTTGTTTAAAGGTTATGAAGATCACCATCATACAGTGCCAAAAACAACAAACCAGATGCACTCTTTACTCTTATGTAGCATGTCAACAGAGAAATGACCTGGAAACATTGGCACTGCATGATCTCTCTACAGAATTGCTCGAGACGGCATCTACACACAGACAAAAATCATACATATAAGACACATTTGCTAGGATTTGATTTATTCCCTCAATTAGCTTTCATTCTTCCCGCTTGGCTACTGACTCTTTTAAACGTATATGGGAAGGGAGATAACGCATCCATTGACCTGCAAACAGATTGGCCGGAGTGCAGGAGGAGGAGCCAAAGAGAGAGAGAGAGGGATGAACGAATGAAGGTAGGAGGATGCAGAGAGAGGGACGGAGCGCTAGTTGGGATGGGAAGAGCCGGGAGAGGAGATCTCTAATAATAGCACTGCAGGGAAGCTAGAGCGTGCGGAGAAAAAAGTGGTACATGCAACAAAGCGAATCATGCCGACGCAAAGCAATGAAAGAGTGCGATGGAGCGAGAGCGGGGAAAGTTGAAAGCACATGCTCTGCTTTCCCGCATACACGATAGAAACAGCGGAAAGGGGAAAACGACGTTCTTAATGCAAAGGAATTACGGTGCAAAGATCTTGAGAAAAACCTCTCCTTAGAAAGCTTTGACCACTGAAGTTCTTGTGTTTTTGTGAGTACGTCTGTTTAAGTTAAAGCCGTCCCTTTCAAATGGCAACCTTGGACACGTGTGTTAAGTTGCAGCTTGTGTGAGTGTGTGTGAAACATGCCCTCCGCTCGGCTTTCATCTGATAATGCAGAGGCGTGAGAGCCACGAATCCGAGGTCCAGCGGAGCCCCTCATTGGACAGCGCAGAGTCAGAATTCACCCAGGCGGCCCGTCGGGGTCAGCGCCTGGCCGTGGGGGCCTTCTACGGCTCCCGGGGGTCAAATGTCAAAGATCAAACTGCACAGAGTGAAGGAGCCGTGGTCGCGGTCTCGCCAGGAGGGAAGCCTCAGGATAAGCGCATGTCTGCTGCTGGGAAGTACGTCGTGTTTTACCTCGACTTGTCTTTTGTATTGCTCCTAGAGTTCGAGAAGCTGAAGATGGCTCGTGGATGCCTGTGCTGTGTCAAATACATGATGTTCCTCTTCAACCTGCTGTTCTGGGTGAGTATCAAAGTACAGCATGAATGATCCACACTTACTTGTTGTCAAAATGCGTTCTCTTCTCTTGTCAAAGTTTAATGTGCAGAGACTGCTGTAAGCTATTTGTACAATGATTTCCCTAAAAAGTGAGCATGGTGTCTCTGTGGGGCTTTCAAAACAATGCACTGTTTGTTTGAATAGTTCAACAATGTCTGTTTCTGGCTCAGCCAATGATAACACTGTTATTATTGCTCATACTTGAGGTTGGAGAATTGTATGAGTACATATTCCTAAATATTAACCCTGAAGTATTAAAGGAATAGTTCACCCAAAAATGAAAATTTGCTTAAAATTTACTCACCCTCTGGCCATGCAAGATGAGGATGATTTTGTTTCTTTATTTGAAAAGATTTGGAGAAATTTTTTAAAAAATGTAAATTTACGTCTCTTATTCACCAATGGATCCTCTGCAGTGAATGGGTGCCGTCAGAATGAGAGTCCAAACAGCTGATAAAAACATCACAATGATCCACAATCTCCAGTCCAACAATTGAAAGAAACAAATCCATCATTAAGACATTTTAACTTTTAACCATTGCTTTTGGGTAAAAATACAAGTCCTCTATCCATAATATTGGATTTCCAGTTAAAATGTTCTCGACTGAATCAGGAGAGAAATATGCACAGATTAAGCACCATTTATAAGTGAAAAAAAGGTCAAAACAGCTCTAAACAAATATGTTGGTGGATTTTGATGTGAGAGGACAAAAGAGGATGGATTACTTGTGGATTATTGTGATGTTTTTAGCAGCTGTTTGGAATCTCATTTTGACGGCACCCATTCACTGCAAAGGATCCACTGGTGAGCAAGTGATGTAATGTTAAATTTCTAGATGAAGAAGCAAATTCATCTACATCTTGGATTGCCTGAGGGTGAGTAAATTTTCACTAAATTTTCATTTTTGGGTGAACTTTTAACAGAGAACGAATCTTTGTGCAAAGATAATGTGTGTGTATTTTCCCATGCTGCACGCCAGGGTCCCACAATCATGTAAATACCAGATAAAATAAAAATAGCAGTTTAAGCCTAGAAAAAAATCATAGAGATGAATTAAATCCCAAGTCATGGAAGTTGCTAGAGAAATACTTTTCTAGTATTGTTCAGCTCTAAAATACATCAGTGGCTAGAAAATGGTAGTTGTGAATGCAGTCTGTATAAAACAGTTTCTAAAGATGCCAATAATCACAAACAACTGGAAACTCATGCATGGAAATGTATCCCTCAAAATGTGTAGGATATTCCAATGACACTGTCTATCTTTAATTTTCAAATATATAAATTATTGTCATTTATTTATTTATTAAATTATATTCAAAATCCACTTAGCTCAGAAATCACTTTGAATGGACATGACGCTTCTGGTAATAACTAGTATTTTGGTGAAAACTGATACCAGTCAATGTTTGTGAAAATGTCACGCAAGTATACATGTGCATGCTGCAATGTGAGGCTGAGGTTCATCACGAGGTGTTAAATGCTCTTAGATCAAAAGCAGTAATACATATTCATCTGAACCAGAGCACTCAAACAAATCCCCCCACCTTTTCCCTCGCTCTCTTGCGTTCTAACATCTCTTATAGGCCTCCAGTTGAACTTTTCAGTCATCTGTGTCTATGTTGTTGTTGTTGTGTATCTGCAATAGGAAGTCTGTGTGTCAGATTATGGTTCTGTGAGTTGTGAGATTTTACTCGTTTGATCTGCTGTGTGTTTTGTTGTTTGTTTGATTCTGAGCCAGTTTAATGACGGAAGCACCAAAACACAAGCAGGAAACTTGAGAAAAAACTCCAGACTGATCTAAAATCTCCCACTGCACACACACACCCACATATACACCCATATAATGATGAAAAGGGAACATAAAAGAATAAGGAAATTATGGAAAGATTGCAAATGCCTGGAGATTTGACCATGTACACTTTAAACAGTGGGGCGGAGGGGGAATAAAAGAAAGATGGAGGAGTGAGATAGAAAGAAAGATAAAAGTAATTTGAAAGCTTTAGATAGAATTACCTTGAGATTAAATGGTTTGTCAAAGGGGTGGTGTGGTTTTCTTTTGGTTCACTGGAATTTAATTTCAGAGTTCAGTTTTCCATTGAAGAGAAATTACTTTCCTGTTTTGAATTACCGGTACAAGGTTTACAGAGGCGTTCAATAAAGTCTTCTCAGAACATAATACAAAAACCCTTGATCTCGCTGCTTATGTGAGAGACAGTTGATGTATTGTGTGCATTTTTATTATATTTTTATATGGAATTTAAATGGGGTGGTAATGATGTTTCTGAGTGGAGTTGAGGAGGTGTTTTAGGTTGCTGGTAATCTATATTTCATGTGTTTGACATTTCTGTGCCTGATGGCTCTCAGCTCCATGTTTAATGCATAAGTCAGAAAGTTAAGGCCAGATTCACTTCACTCTTCACAAGGTCACAAACACACAGTACACTCATTAGTGTGTGTGAGGTCAGTTCTGCATGTGGGCTCTGTTATTAACATGAACGACTGACTCAACTTTTCTAGCTCTTCTGGTGTATTATTTCTAATACATATTCATCGATGCTGCCTACATTTAGTGAAAAGTTCTTTCCCTTTTGCTTTTTTCGTGTCCTTTGCCTTTTTCCTTTCCTTTCATTTCTTATCCTGTTCCTTTCCTTTGTCATTTAAAGTGCCCCTATTATGCCATTTCAAATATTGCTTTTCATGCAGTGTGTAATGTACCTGTCTGTGAATGTAAACTATCTGCGAATTTGTGAAGCCGACAGTGCACGGTAAATACAGTTTTTGTCTCTCAAAAAAAATAAGAATTGACTCTTAATCACCTAAACGAGTCGTCAGGAATTCGAATCCCACTTCCGTGATGGCTACCCGTCACTGGGTCACACATTTGCATAATGCAAAAAACCGCCTATGTTCTATGTTGGCCAGCCGCGAACAATTTGACCCCGCCCTCAAACACTGTAGCATTTCCGTGTTTTTACTATTCCTTTCTTTTCTGTGAATTCCTTTTCTACTGTCCTTTGTCCTTTCATATTTCCTTGTTTCCATCTTTTTTATTTCTTTTCCTTGTAATTTTCTATTAATTTCCTTTGCAATCCCTTTTTCTGTCATTCCTTTTTTCATTTCCTGCCTGTCGCCCTGTCCTTTTCCATTTCCTTTCCTTTTCCTTATTCCTTTTCCCCTATTTTCTGTACTGCACTGTAAAGAAAACCTCTTGAACGAATAGTCCCCCAATTTGGAATGCAGGATTAGATTAAGAACAACCCCATTATGTAGGATTTTCCAAAGGCAGAGAGAATAGATTGAATTCAATTTGTTTGTGTGTCTTCATTCTGGTAGTGCGTCATGAATACTAAAATTTGGGTTAAAAGCTATCTGCTCCTGTGGACAGAATAGTCTTACTCTGTGCTCTTCCTGTTTATGTTTTATTCTGTGCTCTTTGGCTTATTTTTCTTGCTTGCATTTGTTCCCTAATTATTTCCTCTCAGACTTTTTGATTACTGTGCCATACTTTTCATTTTCATGTTTTTTAAAGTTTTCATCATCCTTAACCTATTTTTTCTGACTTGCTCTGCTGCTACTCTCTCTCTCTCTCTCTCTCTCTCACACACACACACACACGTTTTATCTCTTATTTTTCATACTCATCATTTTTCAAGTTCAAGGATTCTGTCTGATTCAGATTCTTCATGGTTCTCAGTGATTCTCAGAGTGCATGCTGGGTATTTTCTTGAGGGAACTGAATGACACAGCTTTTCACCTTCAGTTACACTCAAAAGAAGAGTGTGTGGTGAGCCATACTGCTGCACTGTAGGGCATATCTCGCAATGGCACACGTTATGTGAGGGAGGATTAACAGAGAAGATCTTGGCCTGCTAAATTTTTAATTTAAAGACCTTAAAAATATTTCTTTCATAATATATTTTAACATATTTGTTCATCTTTAAGAACACTAATAATTAATAATAATTTAATAACACTGTTAAATAAAATCTTTAGCAAGAATATAAATTTTTCATATGATACATTTACTTGTAGCATTTAAAATTACTGAATTTATTTTTTAATAATTTGTTATTATAATAATAATTTGTATATATGTGTGTGTATATATATATATATATATATATAGAGAGAGAGAGAGAGAGAGAGAGAGAGAGAGACAGAGAGACAAAATAGCATAGAATTTTAGTATTAGACATTTATCGATCATTGGCCATAACATGAAAATTAGAGTTATAATAACGAAAACAATTCAGTAAGTGAAATGCTAATAATTTAACAACACTTTTCAATGTAATCTTTAGCACAACTATCCATTTTGCATACTGTACATTATAATGTTGCCTAAATTTAGTTGTAGCATTTAAAACAAGTGATTTTCATTTTTAGATACTTATTTTTATTTACTCTACATGGTAAACTGGGTTAAAACAATGAAAGCATTTTACATTTATATTTTAAAATATAATTTTGCAACAGTTCAGTAAATAATTCAATTTAAAATCTCTCTCATACACATGCACACATGTACAACCTTGTGCTGCAAACATAGCATATTCTGGTTTTCTGTTTGGAGCTGGTCCAAGTGTGTTAGCTAACTTTCTCCTTTTGCCTGGCCTTTAGCAGACTGGATTAGGCTACTTTTACATTTTGGTTACCTGAGCATGAAATTACAAGAGTTTCTCCCAAAACGAGATGTGAATAAGCACACCTTCTACTCTGCTAAGGTCTAGACACACACAAAATTCACACTTCGAAACTCAACAACAACCTTTATTGCGGTTCCATTAGCATTTATATTGCTCTCACAGCAGGGAGAGCTGACACAGGTATTGTTTTATTGGTTAGGCATGCGCACACATACCTACCTCAGTCCTGCAACGGTAAATACACCTTACCTTGAGTGAACTTGAGTTCACAAAGTGGCACTCAGGTCCTACTGAGACCTACTGACTTCAGTGAATGAAAACGAAGAGTCAGTTTTACACTTTGGGAAACGTAAAAGCCAAACGAAACAGTCAAACTGAATGTTTATGCATGTTTGATCCATAATGAATGAGTTTTTGTGTGTTTATTAACATGAAACACTCTCCCTTGTCTGTCTCTCCTCAGCTGTCGGGCTGCGGGTTGTTAGGTGTGGGCATATGGCTGTCCGTTTCTCAGGGCAGTTTTGCCACATTCTCCCCCTCCTTCCCCTCCCTCTCAGCTGCCAATCTGGTCATTACCTTGGGCTCCGTCGTCATGGTAACGGGCTTTCTTGGTTGCCTCGGTGCCATCAAGGAGAACAAGTGCCTGTTGCTGAGTGTAAGTCGACACCTAAACTCCCACAATGCATAAGGAATGTATTGTTAATCCAGGGTTATTTTAACCCTGGGTTGGTGTAATTCTGAGTTGTCAGGTTTTGAGATTTCATTTTCAAATTCTGTCTTAAGTGACCCTTCACTAAGACCCACCCCCCTTAGTAACTGTTGCTACAAGCCATGCGACAAGCCATGGCGCTCTTACTCCACACATAATGTTCTCACACAGTGAAAAATACATTGTGGAGCAAAGATGACACTGACAACGCAACAACAGACAAGACAGAGCAGATTACTTTCAGTGTGAAACAAAGTGTCAGCTTTCAAATGTTGTCATTTTGTAAGAAATTCAAACAATAAATAGCGTTTTGTGGCTCTTTAATGTGTTGTGATAGATCGCTGTAGCGAACTGATCATCTCTTCCTCTTTACTAGTTATAGCACAAAATAAACATCAGAAGGTATCTTGTTTCAACCGCAGAAAGATGTCAATACACACCATTTTTCAAGTTCAAGTCCACCGACGTTAATCTACTCTGCTGTCTGGTTTGTTTGTCGGACAAAATTGCGGATTCTGCATTATGATTGGTCAGATCGCCTGTCAATCAAGCTCTTGGCGAAGGGTCAATTATGCATGTTTTTTTTTTTTTACTTCATCACTTCAGTTAAAGCGTTTGCCGTTGCTGCATTTTTGATTAATATTTAAGTTAATATTTCAGAAGTTCAACATATTCTTATGTTGATTCTCTGATGTCAGTTAATGGTCACAAAAACTGAGTTGGAAAAAAGATCACCCTCTTGTGTCAGTATTTTGTTGAACCACCTTTTGCTTTAATTACAGCCTTTAGTCTGTTGGGATTTGTCTCTGCTAACTTTGCACATCTAGACTTTGCAATATTTGCCCACTCTTCTTTGCAGAACTGCTCAAGTTCAGTTCAATTTGATGGTGACCGTTTTTCTGGACCTTCACCTTTTTCTCCTTCAGCCATCTGTACCCAATGTGTGTATATATATATATATATACTGTATATATATACATATATATATGTATGTATATTATTTTTATTTTTTTTAACATATCTTTTTTGGTAATTAGTTACTACTTTTTTTTTTTCTTTTTTTTTTTACGTTTTTATGAATTAATTATTAGCTTTTTATCAACTTATGAACCCTGTTCAGTTCCCTCCCAAACCCCAGTTTAGAAAACCTAGTTTATGATTGTTTTTCTTTTCTTTTCTTTTTTTTTTTTTGCTAAATAACTTGCCAAAACATTATGCACCGTGATTTGGGTGTTGCTCTGATTTTTTTTTTGTTATTTAACAGATTTAAAAGCAATGCTTACCTCCATTCATAATTACTTACAACATTTTCACATTGCCCAGGGTTTAAAAAATACATGTTTAAACATATAGTTAAAAGTAATTAAACAAGCAGTTTTTTCATACATTTAATGTAAACTTCTATAGGTAAAGATGTTAATGAGTATGTCTGTATAGTAAAGCATTTACACTAGTTGTCCAGAAGAGTAATCAACTAGTTGGCAGACCAGTGTGTACCTGATGTAAATGCTTCACAATACACCGTACAACACCAGGGGTTTTGTAGCGCTGCATTGATGGAGAGTGTGGGAGTGCAGAGAAAGGCTGCAAGTGAGAAACAAAAGCATCTCCATTCCCACATTCAAACTGCTTCCATCGTCATGAATAGCGCAAAAACATGCCATATCCCACTTGCTTATAGTTTCTGCCAGCCTTTGGGCAAAACATGGTTAGTTTCAGGGCTTTGGCTTATGTGAACTCTCTAAATGATCTTAGATGTGACACAGTTGACTTAAAAAAGGCTTTGTGTGATATATATATATATATTCGAGAAAAAAGTTTGGGCTGACTTTACATAATCCCATGTATTACAAGGCAATGTACTGAATAAATAAATAAAACGAAATTTGAAATGAATTTGAAGTTATTTTATTATCTTGCATTTACTCTGATTAAGTGTGATTAGCTTCTAATTAAATCAACAAGATTATAACTAGAGGTCGACCGATAGTGGATTTTACCGATACCGATAGCTAGGTTGGACCACACTGGCCGATACCGATTAATCAACCGATAGTTTTTAAAATGGTAAACGAAAACTACCAACAACTCAATAACCGATCAGAATCAAATATTCCATACTATAATAAGTATATATATGTCTTCTGTAAAGCACTTTATTGTTGTATATAAATAGTTTACTTACTTTACTCTCTTTTTTCTTGTAGTTCTTCATTGTTCTGTTGATTATTCTGCTGGCAGAGCTGATTTTGCTCATCCTTTTCTTTGTGTACACGGACAAGGTACAGTATGAACACCAAGCATCACACACACCCCCTCAATCCATCTATTACACACACACACACACACACACACAGAACTAACCACCCCACCGCGCACAGACCTTTATTACCCACACGAATCCTGACAACAACAACAGCCCACACACCTGCTCTTCTGGTTTACTTCATTTCCAAAATTTGACTCAACATGTAACTCATATTTGGATTACAAATGCATCATGTGACTTTGAATCATGTGAACTCTTGTGCAGGTGAGCGAGAACGCTAAGCAGGATCTTAAAGATGGCCTGAGTCTCTACAACACGGACAATAACATCGGCCTCCGCAACGCCTGGAACATTATCCAAGCTGAGGTGTGTGTGGATGAGTGCAGGTGTGATACGGTTATCAGTGACAGTAATGGCAGGTCACTGTGAGTTCAGCTGGTTGATTGGGTCACATCTTATCCGCAGCTGCTCTCCACAGAATAATGGAAGATAACTCATGAAGCCCTCCAGTGTTGAACAATATGCAGGCGTCTGCAGAAATGTTCTTTGCTTAGTGTGTAAATGATGAATCTGAATATTCACTCTGTCTCTCAGTGGCAGTGTTGTGGGGTAACTGGCCACACAGACTGGCATGATGCCCTGCAGGAGAAAACAGTTCCAGACAGATGCTGCCAGGAACACTACAGAGAGTGCGGTCGCAATGCCACTAACGTCTTCTGGTCACAGGTATGGCCTTTATTATTTTATTTATTCTCTGATTATTCTCTGATGTAAATGTTATTTTATTTTAATAGTTTCTCAAATGTAAATTTTATTTAAGTTTCTCTGATTTGTATTGTATTGTATTTTATTAATATTTTATTTTATTTTAATAGTTTCTCTAATTTAAATTTTTTAATTAAATAGTTTCTTTGCTTTTATTTTATTTTATTATTATTATTTATAGCAAAAATGCATACCAGCTAGACTCATTTTCAGCAATCAAACTGATTGTTTCAGTAGATATGTTAGTGTCAATATATGTAGGTAAATATTGCGGTTTATTGGTGCATATAAATAAAAAATGATTAATAATTTAACACTGATAAGTTTAATTTGGAAACATGCCTTGATTATTTTAAACTATAATACTGTATTTAGATAATACAGAAAATATAAAAAGTAGTTAATACAGAATTATTTCGTTAAACACTACAATGTTTTTGACTCAGTTGTAGAAATGAGATTTTTCTCTTTTTGTTAGCTAGTGTTAGTAGTTAGAAGTAATTTAGAAATTTACCTGGGCAAGTTGCCATAAATACTCTGTGATCGTCCAGTTTGATAATGTAACTGTATTTCCTGCTTAAATAGCTTTAATTTAGTTAGCTACTCTTTGTTATTATCTTATACGGTAACTAACTACTATTATTAATATGGTGCACATTGTAAAGTTTCAGATTTTATAAAGAGTTTCAAAATAGCCTCCCCAACTTTACTCATAATGTTACTACACACTTCTGTGGGCCAACACACTTTTCTTTCTGACTCTTAGGGTTGCTATGAGAAGGTTGAGGAATGGCTGAACGACAACAAACATTTGCTCGGAACCATCGCGATGTGTGTGCTGGTCTTACAGGTACAAACATTATGATTAGACTCATCCTGGAGTGTTTTGGAAAATAGCTGTGCCTCCAATGATGTCACATCCTGTTTGATGCACACCCATGCTGATGCCATCTTCTCTGTTCTGCAGCTGCTCGGGATGGCATTCTCCATGACCTTGTACCAGCAAATCCACAGGGCGGGAAAGAAGTATGATGCCTAGAGGAAACCCAGTGTTACACTACAAAAAAACTCTCAGAATACCTAATGTATTGTTTCAAGCCCCGCTTCATGCCATCACAAACTATTACCAGTGAAAATGAAGCTGTATTTTTTTTCTATCAGATTTAATTATGTAGAACAGAGTGTAGATATTTTTGCTTGGCTGCTGAGGGGCTAATTTTTTTGGGCCTGAGGGCTAACAGCAACTGTAAGATGAAAACTAATGAAGGGAATACATTGTGAGAAGCAGTTATGGATGCAGCTGTTAAGCCAAACAGTCTTGGAAATAGTCTGATAGTGTATGAACTGTAAAAGAAAATGCCCACATCATGTAAAATCGGATTTCGGATATCTGCAACGCTCGTAAGAGGATACATTCACTATTTCTTTATTGGACACTTGTGGACACGTAGACGCCGTTCCCTTTGCTGATGTAATATATCAATCGCATGCTGTATATATTTCACATTCACATAAGAGTACTGTACAATTGCACACAAACAATCCTTAATCTGATGACTTAAGTGTTAGGGAGAGTGGGGTAAGACATGTCACCCCATTAATCTACCAAAAATGCATTTTTATTATCAGATATTCAGACAGGCTCTAAATGTATTTGTTATATAAAATATAAAATGAATATATATATATATTATTATAAATATTGGCTTCAAATATTCCGATTATTTTTAAGGTATTTCAAATTGATTTCACATTCGAAAAGTGTCACAGCTTACCCCACTCTTCCCTGCTTTCATTTGTTTCAGTATGAATGTGTTTATTTGTAAAAAGTATGTTCCATGTATGAGAGGGAGAGTCTGGACTAGTCATCTGCTCGCTCTGGGGCTTTGTGTCCTGGTGACTCTTCTCGTCTCTGTCTACTCTTTGTTTTCTCACTCACTGATCTTTTCAAAGTGCATCTGTACTGCTGGGAGGCAAATGAGCTGTCCTACTCCGCCTACTGTCAGGGAAGAGAGAGAGATGAGATCAAAGGATGCAGGATATAGAGGTTAGGAAATAGAGGGGGAGAAAGACCTAATAATGGCTTCTCTTGAAAACAAACAGTATCATGCAATGGCACCTAAAAGAGTGTAATGAGAGTTAACTTATAAGCCATAACCTCTAAACGGTTTGCCGCTCCTGTCAATTTCCTAAAATACATTCCTACTCGTATTCAGTTTGTGAGTGCTATAGGTATATTTTGATCCACAGATTAAATAGTTGCATCTTTCACAGTATTGAATTATCAAGATAATTTATTACCAAATGACATATCTGCATTACTGTTTAATCAATATATTATTTTAAATAAAAAGAAAAAAAATGTTTTAAATAACTTGTTCTTGTCTGACATGAATATTACAAGATAACTGCCTCCAAAAACTAGGTAAAATATGCAATATTCATATTTCAGCATACTTTACAGTGAAGCACTGGCAAGCTGAATAAAAATAAGGATTTTTAGGAAATACATTGTGCAGACATGTTAAATAAATGCATATTAGTGCCCAGTTTTATGTGTTTTTTATGCTAATATTATTTTTTAATGCTGTAATTCATTCTACAAGTCATTGACTCTAAAAAGACTGTGGACATTTACTTACATGAAGTATATTTTAGTGAAAAGCTAACAAGCAACGTTCTCAGAACTTTGGCTAATGTTCTGGCTAGGTTCTCTCAAAGTTAAGAACAAATGTTCTTTTAGTAATGTTAATATAATGTTCGTTCAGAGTCTTTACTAATGTTTTAAAAACATTAGCACAAATGTGTTATTTATACATCATTCAAGGAATGTTTTATTTCGGAAATGTTTTTGTTGGACGTTGTCTAACATTTTTTAAATATTACAGAATGTTTAGAATGTTCAGAGAACAAATGTAACATTCCCATAATGTTCGGAAATTTATCAAATGGAAAGTTCCCTTAATGTTTAAAAAACGTAAAACACTTAAGAAACTGGACATTTTGAATGTTCAGAGAACGTTCAGAAATGCAGTAATATTTTCTGAATGTTAGCAGAATGTTCTTATGAACATATTAGCTAGTCTGGAGTGTTTTTCTGTATGCTTTAACACACTTGCTCCATGTTTAAAGCACTCTTAAAGTTTATTAAAGCATAAACGGAATCAGGGAGTAAAACAACATATATTTCAACATAACTTTATACACGTCGAAATACACAATACAAAATACAAAGTAGAAAACAGTATCGTCTCTTGTTCTCCTCAGAGGATAGCTGTGGAGAGAGGATGGACCTCTCTGTAATTCATAAAGGAAGGGGCTTTCTTCTCTCTTTTAGATCTGCTTTGTGATATTTGGCAATGGCGTTGAGATAAAACTAAAGAAGCTCTGTGTGGAGGTAAGTCTCTCTGTCTCCATCTGTTGGCCAAACACTAGATATATTTGTATGAATGCTAGTGTGTGTGAACAAGCAGGAAAAATATACCTTAAACATAAAGAAATTCTTTTAAACATACTTTTACACGCATACCAGCAAACATACAGTTTTTCAGGCTTACTTTGCAGTATAGTGGTTTCAATTGTTCACACACACCATGTTGCAAATGTATCTCTGATGTCCCTGTGTCTGTATTGTTATATTGTGATGTGTTTCAGAAAGCAGTGCTTTGTAACTTTTGAAATGTTTTAGCGGTATATATGTGATACAGTTACTTTATGGGGCTAATTTTATTTTAACTAGAAAGATTTACTGCTTTTTGACTCACAACACATTGTATTGAGACCCTACAGAGATGGGTTCTGAAACATTTGACAGGGGACGGCTGGAAATATCGAGGAACTGAAGAAGGAGTGTCAAAACACTGAAAACTCCATGAGTATTTGTCTCTTTCTCTCCATCAGTGGCGGTCCTTTTTTTCCCAGCTATCCCCAAACCCATCTCTCTGACTGAGAAGACTTCAGCTGTACTGACTCACTGTTGTCTCCATCTGCCTGCAGCCAAACAAAGGTAAATAAAACATCAGATGAAAACAAAAACAATACAACATTTATTTTAGGTAAGCGCAATAAGCATCTGTGGCATGTCGATTACCACAGAAAATATGTTTGTATCATCTCCATCTCTTATTACGGAAGAGGCCATGCATTATTTTTTAATGTATTGTTTTTTAGTTTCTCATGATCTCATCTCAGCAAATGTTTTTTTTTAACGTCTTGTTTCTAACAAAAGCCATTTCTGCAGCATACACTACCATTCAAACATTTGGGGTCTGTAATTAAAATTTTTTTGTTTATCTGATCAATACATTAAAAAAAACGTAATATTTTAAAATAATATTACAGTTTAAAATAATTTAAATTTTTCTATTTCAATATATTTTAAAATGTAATTACTATAGAAATCATTCTAATATGCTGATTTTCTTATTATTATCAATGCTGAAAACAGTTGTGCTGCTTAATATATTGGTGAAAACCATGATACATTTTTTCAGGATTATGTGATGAACAAAGTTCAAAAGAACAGCATTTAAAATAAAATTATTTTTAACATTATAAATGTCTTTACTGTCACTTTTGATCAATGCAATGCGTCCATGCTGAATAAAACTATTAAATTTATTTTTAAAAATTCGCCACATTTTTTTATGTGTAGTGTAGTGTATATACTACTACATTATGGGTGAACGAATCTGTATTTATTTTAATAGAAAATATCTATTATTATTTTTATTATAAAATATTACCATTTGTTGCAAATTTGTGTTGTGCCGCCAGTAATTTAGTAATAATATCATATATCACATGATATCTATGTATGTCCACTAGTTATATCCATAAGTACATTATTCACTTCAATGAATATAATATGTATAAAATAACTAAACATATATTGAGAAAATCTGGTCATGGCATTAAGCTCATAGCAATTAACTGACCTTGCTTGCGATAGCTTTCAGTTTACCCAGTAAAGAAGGAGTATTTGAGTAAACAACATCGTCCTCATTCTCTTCCCCCTCTCCCTCAGCTAGTGCACAGCTGTCCGCTGCTGGCAACTCACAGTCCTTATTGGCCGACATCACTAGCCTGGAGTATTTATATTCAAGCCTGTACAAAAAAAGAAAAGAAAATCAAAAAGCACTTTTTGCATCTCAAGCTCAACTTCCATTGACAGCTTTGTTACCTTTTGTTCTTTTTCCAGAAATAGCACGTGAGACAAACCAAGAGGACGGCCATGAAGGCTCCGCCCCCAATTCCGGCCTTCACCCATAGGCTGACCACCTCACAGTGGGCGGAGGTCTTGTTCGGGAGCGGTACCCCTTTGGTGCAAAATTTTGGTTCGTTCCACACATAGAGGGTGTCCTGTTATGAGAAGGATACATGAAAAATCAGAAAGATGCCAAATAAATTGAATGCATTTGTGGAAAGAGAGGTACCTGCACTCCTCCTTTGCACGCTCCTTCTATCGAATGGTAGTCTGTTTCAGTGCAGAGAGGACAAGCGCTAGAGCTCTCCCAGAGGAAATGGAACTCACAGCCATTACATGTTCCTGCTGGGCACTTGCTAAACACACAAACACAATTAAAAAGTGTTTTTTCGTGATTAACGTTACCACATTGTCTTTTCTTAAGCAATTAAAATTGTTTGTAAATGTAATTAATCAGTCCGACAATTTTTGTGGATGCTATTTGTAGCTGAATGATTCATTTCAAGGCATTCCTAACCCAACTCGCACGCAAAATCAACATTTCTCATTTCACACACAGAAAACGTAAATTTGAAAATGCAAATTTGCAAGCATTCAATATTCATTGCATATTTGCAACTGGCCTGCAAACCTCTGAATGCTATTTGTATTAGCATTTATATTAATAACGGTGTTTCACTCATGGGTAATAATATTTCAGCTGTTGAGCTTTGATGATAATTCACCATATACAAAGAATGCATATGATGCAAATTTGAAAAATGCTCATTTTTGTTACACGTCCCGTCTGTGTTTAAAAAAAAAGTTAATTATCCATAAAGAGCGTTTTTCTCCATTTACTGAGACACTCTGCTATGCACATTTTAATCCGTTTTTAAAAATGCAAAAGCATTAAACATATTTAATGTGTTTACTTGGTCCTAAAATACATACACTCTCAGGAAAAAAAGGTACAATAGTTGTCACTGGGGCGGTACCTTTTCAAAAGGCACACTAATGTACCAAAAGAGTCCCTAATGGTACCTTAAAGGTACATATTAGCACCTAAAGTGTACATATTAGTACCTAAAAGGTACAAAAGTGTAACTTTTGAAAAGGTACCGCCCCAGTGACAGCTGTTGTACCTTTTTTTCTGAGAGTGTACAT